TATTGATGTATTTAATTCTCATAATGACTTGGGATGTAGCTGATATCACACCCATTCTATAAGAAAGCACTAAATAAATAAATAAGTAAAACTAATGAAAGAAACCACAGTGTCAGCAGGATGAAGTAGCTGGTCCAGAGCCAAGATGGAATTTGAGGGGAGGTCTGATTCCTAAGCTGCACCTAAGACCCTCCAGGGCAGTGCTTCTCACCCTCCACACTCCTGAGATGGAGCATTCTCTGTGGCGGTGGGACCACCGTCCTGTGCACTGTGGGAAGTTGAGCGTAAGCCCCGCCTCCACTCGCTAGCGGCCAGCACCCTTCCTCCTGCAGCTGTGAAAACCAAAACTGGCTCTAGCCATTGTCAAATGTCCCCCTGGGGGCAGAAATGCCCCTGGGCCAGCGGCTTTCTACAAGCATGGAGATGTCCCTCTGTCGCCCACACGGGGCTACTCACAACTAAAAACACTTCAATGTCCCAAAGTAAGGCATTCTGTCAATGCAATGAAATGTATGTGTAGTTTAATGAACAGAAATAAAACAGTTGAACAGATACACATTACTGCACGTAAAATAGATAAACAACAAGGACCTACTGTATAGCAAAGGGAACTAGATTCAATTTCTTGTAATGAGCTGTAGTGGAAAAGAAACTGAAAAAACATACATGTATGTAATTATGTGCATAACTGAATCACTTATTTGTAGACCTAAAACTAACATTGTAAATTGACTACATGTTAATAAAAAATAAGAATTAAAGAAAAGAAGGTGATGAGAGCTACACATAAAAGAACACACCCAGAAAATGAAAAAAAAAAACCTAAAAAACAACAAAAAAAGAAAGAAAATAGTTGATGGAGGGAAGCAGGATGATTGGATCTTTGCGTCCTTTACGGACTTTTTTCTTCAATGTCTCTATGTTATTGTCTTAATATTAACCATGAAAAGAAAAACCTTTGTGTGTGCTCTCTGCTCCTAGAATCATGTCTCTTCCCTGCCTACCCCAACCTTCTCTCTCTTTTTTTTTTTTTTGAGAAGTATAGTCAGTTACAATGTGTCAGTTTCTGGTGTACAGCATCATGTTCCAGTCGTGCATATACATACATATATTTGTTTTCATATGCTTTATTATTATAGGTTACTACAAGATACAGAATATAGTTCCCTATGCTATTACAGAAGAAATTTGTTTTTTATCTATTTTATATATAGTAGTTAATATTTGCAAATCTTGAATTCCCAATTTGTCCCTTCCCATCCCCTTTACCTCTGGTAACCATAAGATTGTTTACTATGTCTGTGAGTCTGTTTCTCTTTTGTAGGCAAGTTCATTAATGTCTTATTTTTCCTTTTTTTAGATTTCTCATATGAGTGATATCATACGGTATTTTTCTTTCTGCCTGACCTTCCCTTAACTGAGCCCCTTATAAACATTTGGTTTCTACTTGCCTACAAGGAATATTCCAGAACACTTCCTTGGAACTTAGTTTGTTAAAACAAAGAGTCAAAGCTGGAACTATTTGAATGACAAAATAAACAATGGAAAGTGTAAAAGAAATATCCCCGAGTCCACACTGATTTAAATAAATGATTGAATAAATAAATAAATGGGGGAGAAGAGACATCTCCCAGGCAGAAGAATCCCGAATAATTTATGCAGATGCTCTGCCCTCAAGGAGGTGGAGGGTGACACCTCATCCCTTAGGTTTGGGCTGTATATAGTGACTTCCTTCCAGAGGGTACAGCACAGAAAGAGGGGAAGAGAGTAACTCGACGGTGGAGACACCTGGTAGACACTTCAGCCAGGTGACTTCAACATTACAGTGATACGTTATATTGGTGGCATGTGCCCTGGACACGGTGTGATGAGAAGGGGGCTTTGCCTCTGTGGTCCTCCCTAAACCCATCACCCCAGTTCAATCATGAGAAAAACACCAGACAAATCCTAGCTGAGGGCCATCCTTCAAAACACCTCAAAACTGTCAAGATCATCAAAACCAAGAAAGTCTCAGAAAGGATTCCAGTCCAGGGGACCCTAAAGAGACATGACAACTAAATGTAACCTGGGGATCCCAGGACAGACATTAGGGAACATGAGGAGATCTGAATAATGCACGGACTCCAGTTAGCAATAATGTTCTCAGTCAGTACTGGTTCATTAATTTTAACACACGTCCCATACAGATGTAAAATGGTAAAAATAGGAGAAATGAGGTGTGGGGTACAGGCAACATTTTTGTATTATCTTTGCTATTTTTCTGCAAATCAAAAGCTATTCCAAAATAAAATGCTTCTTTAAAAAAATAACAAATCTGGGGGGGAGCTTATAGGGTAGAGTGTGTGCTTTAGCATGCACAAGGTCCAGAGTTCTATCCCCAGTCCCTCCATTAAAACTAAGTAAATAAAAAAAAACAAACATAATTACCTCCCCCCCCAAAAAAAAACTTAAAAATAACAAAGCTAAAAGCTGAGGAATGGTAGCACAACTATTTCTACCTGGAATTTTAGAGAGAAAAAAATCACAAACTTTCTGTTTGCAGAGCTAGGACTAGAGTGAGATGAATAAGGTACTTGCTTTGGCTGCAAAATATGGGGCAAGGGGCACCTAACAGTTCTATTATTGTTATCACCATCTTATAGCTATGGAAACTGAGACAGAGAGGAAATCGCTTGCCCACAGTCTCACAGAGAGGCAGGGCTGCTCACACACAATATTAGCCTCCACTGGAAATTGTGGTCCCGAGCTGACTCTCAGGTTTGAAACTAGCACAGTGGGGCTCCCATAAGTCAGCTTTGCCAAGCGTTGTGCACCTGGAGTCCTGGCCTGGGAGGGAGGCCCCTGCTTATGGTGTTGCTGACAATTAGGTTCTTGTCTCATCCCTGGAAGAATTCGGAGACGACATGCGGAGGTTAAGAAAGTAAAGTGAGGATTTATTAAGGGATGGATAGTACACTGTCAAGGAGAGAGCAGGCAGGCTCGGGTGAGCAGCTGCACTGAGCTTCTTTGGCAAGTTGGTTACAGAGGGTAAAAATGAATGGGCGGAATATTCATTGGGGAGGGAAGGGTTTGGGATCGTATTCCCTGATCTCCATCCGAGCTCCACCTTCCCCAGGGGAGGAAGGATTTCTGTCCTTAGTATGAATTGGAAGTGTCACAGTGTCGGTGCATGACAGATACTTCTAATCTGCAAGGCTAATATTATTGTAATGAGGCATAATGAGCAAATGGTTACATTCAGACACAGGAGATTCCTGCTTTTTCCCAGCTTTCTTTGCCTGCCTCTAGGACATTTGTCACCCCAAAATGTGTGATCTCTTATCAGGTC